TATTAAAGATACGATCATGATCCTCCTTAATTGTGAATATATGATTGTTCTTACTAAGGAACATTCTTTAGTCTAGTCTAGAACCTTCTCATCTTTTGTATAAAGCACACATTGTAGTGACTCTCGTTGATATGGCAAATACATTCCTTACATCTCAGAGCTACCGTTCTTGAGAATATCAGCAGCTGCGCAGAAATCTCCAAGGAATGGATTCTCTCTAATAAGATCAAGCTTTGGCATTGTCTAAAACAAAAACCCTAGAAAAAAAAAGAGATCGATTCAACAATCCTTCAAAATCGAGAAAACGAAACTTATAAACAAAACCCTAGTGAGAAAAATCAAAGCTATAGCAAACACAACCCTCAAAAATCGATCTCTATGTAGGAGGAATAGATACTGATCAGTTTAGATCGAAACCGAACAGAAAAATCGATGTATTCTTCGTTTCTCAGTTCTGATCCAATAATATAAGTGGGATGTGTAAATTAGATTTGGGGAAAAGGAAACTCTTTGTATAATTTGGTTTAGGAAAAGTTTTATTTTGCTGGATTTTGTTTTATTCTGTTATATATAAAAAAGGATATTTTCCTTTATTGTTTTGTTTACAATTAAAAGCTAAACAAAAGTTTCATTTTTGAAAATTCATTAATCATACGAAAATAAAATGAATACATTATTCCATTTAGCAAAAGTGAGAACCTAATTATCCATCAACTTTTTAATTTTGGAGCAGATCACAATTAGTGAAAATAAAATACACATCCCAAATAATTTACAACAAGCACAAACGCAAACGCGATAAAACAAATTAAAAAGAAAACAAACGACAATAGTTTATTCAATAAATTAAAAAATCCACTTGGTCGCATCAAGATTGAGACAGGAACGTTGCGTCTGCGTTCTGATCGCTACAGTAGAGACAAGGGTGTTGGTGAAACCCTAGTCTCTCAAGCACTTCCCTAGCCATTATCACTAGTTCCTTGTTCTTCAAGACACCTCCATTTTCCTTCAAAACCGTCTGAATCGCGTTGCTAAACGCACCGTACGCCTTCCCGCCGCTACCGCCGACATCAGCAGATGTCTCATCCGCCTGACATCCGCTCAACAATATTCCGGCATCCATGCGTTTCTCACGCGCCGTCATTTTCTCCAAAAGATCCAATATATCCATGGTCGGTAACCGGAATTTTAAACCAGCGTCGCCGCCAAAGAGCTCGAGTAGGTGTGTTCCGATGTCGGAAGTTGAGATTCGGGTGAGAGAACTCAAGTGGTCAAGCACTGCCTTGAAAGGCAAGGCACGTGATGTTATTGTTGTCGTTGTCTCCATGACCGGAGATCTATCGCTGCCGGAATAAGGTCCGATCTGTTCTTTTTCCTTGTCGATGAGGCCACCGCTATGGCAAGAATCAGAGATCATGGTAAAGCTTGTTCCTTTAGCAAGTTGATTCACCAATTCTCTGAAATCAATATCTGTGATGAGATTGAAATCACAAGGAACAATAGCTTCGTCTTGTTTAAAAGGATGAGCTGGTTTAACCGAAGGAATACGAGTTCCATGGCCACTATAGTGGAAGAACAAGACGTCTCCTGATCCGGTTTGAGCTTTATCCACCATCCTACGTAAAGCAGCCTTGATGTTTGCACCGGTGGGCTTCACCTTTGACTCTGGCTCGTCCGTAAGAACCTCCATGTCGTCTTGTTTGAATCCGAAACGGGTCAAAAGAGTTTCTTTCATGGCTAAAACATCGTTGACGCAGCCGTGAAGCTCGTTCTTTGTGTTGGGGTAGTTGCAGCCAACGAGAACGGCTAGTCTTCTCTTGACCATTCCTTGTTGATCCATTAAGTCTCTTGATGTGATTCGTTAGGGTTTAGAAGGGATTGTTAAACAACTTTTTAAGGAAAATGTTTTGGAGTTTCTTTTGTTTGTTGTTTAGTTTTTCATGCGCAGTGTTGTGGTTTTGGAGCTAACTAATGTGTATTTATGATTGAGGTTTCTTGTAGTGAGGGTCAAGTTACATACATAATTTATTAATAAATATTTTCATTTCTAGATTGCTTTAAAGCTATGGAACATTTTATAATGGAGTCTTGACTGTATTATATGCTTAAAGCAAGAAACTATACCTTAAACCAAACTTTTGAGATGGACACAAGTAATCTACTAAGTCATGGATCATGGTCCCCACCATTAGTGGTGTGGAAAGTTGTAAGTTGTAACCCCATGCTTAAAGTTAAATGAAATCTAAGGATCAGATATTATAATGATTAATTTGGTTAACTTGGAATTATATGTAACTTTAAAAAATAGTATCCTCAAAGATTTGAACCTAAGCCATCTAGCTATCCAAGGCAAGAAATGAGCTAAATTTTATATGTATATGTGAAACATATATAATGTTGAAATATAAATTGACCAAACTAACTTGTCTTAATCCCAAAGGACCGAACCTACGTCGTGCACGCAACGGCAAAGTCTTTTTTTGTGACGAAGCATTCACCATTTTAGCACCATCTTCACTTCACGTTCGAGCCTAACTCACAACTTCATATTTGTAAATCCACAAAAAAAAATCAAATTAAAATATAAACCTTTTAAGCGAGAGGGGGTTATAATAAGGGTCATAATTACAATTAGAATCATTCTTGACTGCAATATCTAATGAGAATTGATTAGGTCGTGAGCTAGCAAAGTATTCAATTTATATATAGGAATTAAGTTGATGTATTCACACTGATTTCGTTTAGCTCACAAATCTTGAATACACTAGTTTAAAAAAATAAAACAGAGCAATTTTACACACCAAGAAGATGGACTAAACAAGATTTAAATCAAAAACGAAGATTTGTTATCCAACATTGCTCGACTCGTCACGCTTAGTTTAGAGCTGCCATTGTTACACAACACCTTTTCCACGAAATCGTCTGAAACGCTAACGCTTTTTAGCGGTTGCATCAAACGCTGACCGCCGGTAACCATAACGGCGTTTTCAATACGACAGCTCATCAACCCGGTTCTTTTCTTCTCGCAACCGCCAAACGCAAGAGTCGGCGGTAAGCCGATTCTGGCATAGTTAGCCACAACGGTCGAGGCTGGCTCGGCGGTTGTTACACTCCAAGTCACACTTGCTTCGCTCGGCTCGTACCCGTACTCCGTCGCGGTCTCGTCTAACGAGTCCCGGACGGGTGGGGCCCACGTACGAGCCGCGGGTTGAGCAGAGAAGCTCTCGATCTCAAAAAGATCGGAGCTTGCATCGCTCGCGGCTTCTTCGTCTGCGATGACTCCCTTGGGACTTGTCTGATTCATAACCGGATTAACTGGATTCAAAACCGGTTTAATCGGATTCTGAACCGGATTTTTGGATTTTTCTGATGATTGGTTTAGTGTAGGAAAGCTAAAATTACTAACCGGAGCTCTAGATTCTCTGTTCGCGGCGCAGTCGATGGACCGAGTCCCATTGTTTGAAGGGATGGTTAATCTCATCGGATCAGAAGAAGTTATCGTCTGATGAGCTATTCGGTTTGACACGACTCGGTCAGAACCGGTTCTGTTTTCCGCAATTCTTGGTTGAGTTTCTTTGACTTGAACCGACTTGGAGCTAGAACAGGGACAAGTCCTGCGTCTGAAAAACCATCTGGTTCCTTTCTTGCTGCTTCCACCACGTCCATGTCGGTCCAATTCTTTCCGGTTATTGAGCAACCCGGTTTGGCTATTCCAGCTAGCTTCAGAAGATGCCGTATGTCCCACGCAAAAAGATGACACTTTTGCAGATGAAACCGAATGGAATCTTGGACCACTAAGATTCCTCGTCTGAGATCTATCGTCGCTTCCCGTTTCGCTAAAGTAACTTCGAGCTTCGAAGATGCTTAGCTCAGTATCATCTTGCTCCTT